TGCTTAACTTCAGTGATCGGACGAGAACTGGTGCTTTCAACGTGGTATGGCAGTAGACATTATATAGATATTTTTCTGGCCGGTCTTTCTCGCAAAACAGGGGAAAATACCAGCAAAATGGAGTCTCCAGCGCAAAAGGGAGTCTACAGCACTCGGTGTTCCCAGGCGGTCACCCATCCAAGTACTAACCGAGCCCGACGTTGCTTAACTTCAGTGATCGGACGAGAACTGGTGCTTTCAACGTGGTATGGCCATAGACATTATATAGAAATTTTTCTGGCGGGTCTTTCTCGCAAAACAGGGGAAAATACCAGCAAAATGGAGTCTCCAGCGCAAAAGGGAGTCTACAGCACTCGGTGTTCCCAGGCGGTCACCCATCTAAGTACTAACCGAGCCCGACGTTGCTTAACTTCAGTGATCGGACGAGAACTGGTTTTTTTTTTATCTTATTTTATTACAGGAACAATATAATCACAAAATACAAGTTATGAAAAGTTAAAAAATATTGCACACAAAGGCAAAAGGTACAAAATCAGAAAATAAAAATATTATTTAATTAAAATTTACATTTACAGTGTCATTAGTGATTTTTATGTATGGATTAAAAACAAAAGTCAACATGAATTTATTGGCATAACCTCTGGATTTCCAAATTTGTTGTATATATTTGATTTGATTGGTAAACATAGTTTTGAACAAACACACTATATTGATTAGTTTCCCTGACTTAACATACATAGCTCTCCTCTTCATAATAGCTAATCTAACAGTTGAAAAAACTAAAATAAGAAATAAATTGTCAGAGGTATTTTTAACAGGATACCCAAATAATAACCAAGTATGGAAATCATGGTTGTTATAACCAGTCGATTGTAAAAAAACTCCAATCATATCTGATATTAGATTTAACAATTCAATTATGGATGGACAATGAATAAATATATGTTGAATTGTTTCTTCCTGAATACAAAAATGGCATTTTGGACTGTCTAAAATATTAG